CGTAAATGCTTACTCATCAACTTATCATACACTCGCTCTAAACAAACATGATTTCTTTTACTTTGAAATCAGATACTAGTTTTTTTTTATCATGAACTGTTAAGACCTGACTTATTACTCGCCTGCTAGAAAGTGTAATGCATCGCAGCTGAAACCTGTTCATTATCGTTCAAAGCTGACATGCGTTAGAAAGAGGATATAGAGACACGCAAATTGCATTTCGGCCGTAGTTCTTCGCAAGATAATCAAGAAAAGAGATGACAAAGCTACCAGCCCGTTCTCGAGACTAGTCTTATTGGTACTGCTCTTGCGGTAGGCCCACGCAACAGTCTTTACTGTTTCACGAATGGGCACGTCATTAAGGGAAGTACCACGAACTCAAAGAAGTCCGGCCTGAAGTGGGAGTGATTTGTCTGCATTTTGTCTGGTAACCGGGGCTTTATTAAAAGTTGGCATTGGTAATGCATCTGCATCCGGTGTTGCAAATGTCTGCAAATGGGTGATAGGTATCACTTAACACCAGGTGAACCACGAGCTTGCTTGCCTCCTGCTTACATTAAAAAAATTCTAACCAAGTCAGGGTCATCAACGGCCTCTCCAAATCGCTCAGTTACAACATTTACATACTAGACCTAATGAATACACACTACGAGGTGTTAATCAGGTGCATTTATGCTCGAGGTATTAGCTGGACGGTTTTTACAAATTTACTAACTGGTTAGCCGCGTTACACTAACTTGCTAAACGCACGATATTTTGTAAGCTGCAACTTAATAATGAATGACATTGAAGTCCACTCACTATAAGAGTTGGCAGACGATGGAGGATTAAGAAATATGATTTAATGTTTGCTAAAGAATTTCGGGTTTGAGAATATATCTCTAGAAATATGTTCGATGATTATGAGTCAGTTTTATTTATAAAAGCCTGATAATGGCTATGCAATGCGTAATTCAAAATAGTGGATCGCAATATCGAATTTTCCGGTGTCGTTTTCCTCGTCCCATTATAATATGAGTTGCCTAGAATGTATACTGCAGATGAAACAACTTACTTTAAAAAACTTCATGTATGTCCCTGCTATATAAATAATATGTCTGACTTTAATGTAAAGCACATTCAAAGCCGACACTTTACCTACAGAGTAAGTAAAATAACCTTTAAAATCAATGTTTAAATTAACAACAATACATGAAGAACATACCATACATACATTACAAATGTATTACGTCTTCTTTGAAAGTTTCTTGATTAAATTTGACTGAATATTAAGTTAGTCTTTCCCTTCATTTAAACGATGGTATTCCATCACTAAAGATATCAAAGAGGATATAACTGAAAATACTATATGGTGAAAATTTTCATAAACAATTGGAATGTTCACCATACACGTTCCGTCACGAGATAGAATCGTAGCCGTCGTCGGGAAGAGAACAAAGTCGTCGTGCGTGCGCGTAATATTAAATTAGCAGCAATTAGCATACAAAGGAGCTGGTCGCACACGAACCGGTCATTATCGATTTACGGATAATTGTAGCGGAGGGTTCCGCGTCCCGAGGTCCGTGGGTTTTAAACGAAGCCAAAATCGCGAAAGACTGGTGATCATTAAATGCCCCCGTCAAAGAAAGGAATCAACTCTCAAGGTTTGGTTTGACGTGTTTGTAACGTGAAATAAGTTCTCACGACTTTGAACCCTTAACGCAATGCGAAGCAATCGGTAGTCGACAATGATATCAAAACAATAGATTTTTTTGGTTTTCCTGCTTCGCAGCGGTTTTTAATAGTTTTTTTCCGCGACACAATACAATATGCTTTATTTTTAGTACGAACGATATCTTGAAGGCACACTGCATTTAGTGTCACTTTTCAAAACGTTATTTTATTATTATTTTGTGCCATGATGTCATATGTATTGCCATTTTATAGGGTGTTCGTTTTGAACCCGCCCATTTTTTCTGAGAATGTGGCAAACGGGCTGTTCACCTGACGTTAAGTGATAACCGCTGTCCCATCCGTAGGTTTGCAGATGCGTTCCCACCTTTTAATAGAGTGGACTCCGGTTACCTTACTCGCCAGACGAAACGTATCAGTGTAACTCTTCCACTTCATGCCATTTTCATTTGTTTGTTTTCGATGGCCTAAGCTTGCCTCAATTGGGGCTACATGAACAGCTTCTTGGAACGCATATGGCATTGAATATTTCTCTCCACACTGTTAGGTCGTTATCGGAATCGCCTTTCGGTCAAGGAGGCCCTTTTAAGAAAAGACAGCAACTATTGTGTTACACCGATTACCCATTACCGTCGTAATTAATTTTTCTAGTGCAATAGTAATACATGACTCCATCATCTTGGAATGCAACACATTGCAAACGTGTTGTACGGCCCATGACGAGGTCAGTGCGTCAATAAAAACAAACAAACTGATTTTCGATTACAATATTTAACACGCAATGTCTTTAGAGAACCGGTATTGCAAGTTTTATCACTACTTACATGCGAAGCTGATAACAATACTAATATACCATGCACATTGTAACGTGATACTGTTGTTAAAGGTCAGGTTTAATCAGAATTGCTTTTATCAATACAGGTACATTTACATGTATAGGTCTTCTTAAGTTAATAATCTTAATAACTTAAGAAATATAAGTTTAAAGTACGTGAAGAGCTGTCTGTATATATGAATCTTTTCGCATTCATAGATGAGGAATTTTAAGTATAAGGAAAATAAGTAAAGAATTGAAAAGTTATTTAACTCAGAATTGGTATTTTCAGGAGTGCTTACTTTGTGACAAAAATCTACTAGAATTAAATTAATAAACACATTTCATAACAAAAAAAATGGTCAAAAATGTCCTATCCTGGATTCGGGTATAATTGAAAACTCTAAAATACTTGATTAAATTAATAAGTATTTTCTCAAGCACTTATGAACGTTAAAATCGACGAGTACTATCGGTGTCCAAACATAGAATCCAGAAGAGAACAGACAAGACAGGAAGAAAACGTATCTTGCATGTTTCTTATAAAGAAGTACCATCGGCACAAAATTCAGAAGCAGCGATTCTCATGGGGTTATGCAATAGCAGAGATAAAATAGATTTTAGGATTACTTGGTATCAAAGCCTTTCTATGATAAGCAAAAATTAGTGAAAGTGCAGCAGTGGGCTATACCGCCGATGGCATTTGCCCCATCGGCTTCGATTCTATATTTAAATTTGCCGGCGATTGAAAGCTACTTCAATAATTCTTGAATGAAAGATTGAAAGAATGAAAAGAATGATTCTTCCTTTGAATGAAAGATGTATTTAAAATGAACGTAGATTGACGGTCTTAGCACATGGCGTTAGGCTGAGACATTTGTCCTTTAAAAAGACGCATAGAAATGAAAACCCTACATATGTGATCACCCCATTTGAAGACATAATGGCATTTACATATATGCAAGTCGTATCGTACAAGTATGGATTTAAGCTACGTACGAGGTCTGAACAGGGTTGGCATTTTCTACACTTAAGCTTCTTGATCTCTGATATCATAACTCTATAAAGCTCTCAGAATTAGAATGAACTTTAGTAATTGAACAGTTGTGTAGTATACTAATTCTTATATAGTATTTGTTACATTAGCTTGATTTAATTTGTCATTTCTATTGTTAATTAACGATGTTATACTCGTAAAACCCGTTTCATCGAAAGTGAAGTAGCATTTCCTGAGATTACGTTTTACGGTTGATCGAAACTAATCGAATCGAAAAAGTTAGATTTATTATTTAAACATTAATTCGAATTAGTCACTCGTTAATGACTAATATGTATAGTCGCTTTGAAACATAAAACGCGTGGCATTCCAATGGTCTCTTGGTCAGTATTTAATCATAAATGCGTAACATAAATACTCGTATTGACTGAAAAACTTTTTTATTTTGACTTTGAAATTAATCTTAAAACAGTGAAGAAATGTAAATATTAAGAATAAACTTAATATTTCTAACGGTAAGCTCACTAACGCTTTGTGACTTATGTTTATGAAGTAAATAACTTTTGTGAGGTTATATAAATACGCTACTTACACAGACTTAGAGCTTAGAAATAACTAGTGAAACTATCGAGACGGCAATCGCGGCACCGAATCATTATGCGTTATATTATTTCATATTCATTTACATTTCTGTATCTCCTAGATATTGTTAGATAATGTTACTGTTACTGTACATTACAGACTACTGAAATTTGTACAACAAACCTCAGTACGCGGCTTATCTTTACAACTGGCTGACACAGTGAGAGTTCATATTGATTATGCAATGTGTGTTTTGTTTTCGCCGAGATCATCATGATGACGTCCGGTTCATATTGTTTCAGATATGACACAGGATACGAGTTTTGCATGACAAAGAGTTGATGGGAGCAAACAGAGCAGATTCAAAGCGTTTTGGGATGATGCAGGTAAGTTTTACGTAAACGTTGCCGGCATAAGTAATTCCCTATAATATTTAATGATGAATAAAAATCGGGCATCAGTTCGAATAACTACATTTAAATTATTAAAAACCTTTGCATCATCGCTGTTTTGTTGAAAAACAACTTTTTATATGAGCGCAATTACAAGAAAATTCCTATCTTCGGTCAATTATCGGTCATTGTCTCAAAAATTTTTGGCTGAATAATAACGCCTATAAAAAAGAAAAATTCTAGGAGAGACTTTAAAACTCCTGCTCTCCACTGCGTGGGTATTGATGTGGATGATTTTTAAAAAAATATTCTGACTGTCTAAAGTATTATTCCTTGTTTGAACTAATGTTAAACGCTGCACAAAACTGAGACTATCAGGCTCTACTCCACATCATTCACTGGTGGACACCAAGTTCAATTTTCCAGTTTTCTCAACGCCTCTCATACAGATTTCCTCGAAAACTTTTGATTTCCTTATCGCTTAGAACTGATTCAGGTGTAGCGAACTGAACTTCATGTGCAGGTAACGACTGAGTGGTGAGGGATGTCTCAGTCAGCATTAGGCCTGGGTGGGGAGCGCCGGTACTCCGTGCCCTCGAACCCACTGGTGCACGACCCCCGCAGCATGCACTCCGAAGACCTGCACGCCTGGTCTATCTATAGGTAAGCCATTTCTAGAAATTTCTTCAGCAATAAATATTAGTAAATTAATTAATTAAATATTTGTCGTAATTGCTTAGGTTACTCAGAGGTTTCTACTGTTGCTTTTGCATCTGCCTCGGGGAATATTTTGTATTTTCGCCTGAAGTCCGGTGAATGACGCAACCCGAGATGAGTCCCTTTTCTAACGTTTTAAATACATTGCTACCATCCCCATGTAGCAGATGTCCGAGGTAAGTTACCATCGGGTGACAGCTAAATACCGTCCAATGTTCTCAGGCTATCACGAGGGCTACCCACGTTTAAATTTGTTAAAAAGTTCTGTTCTGATCTTGCTTTCATTATTGCAGGTCTCCCCGCTGTATCGATACTTCGTTTGTTTCTATGTGTTAAGTCTTTTAAGCAGTTCAAGCGCCACTTGAGAATTCTAGGTGGGCACTGAGCTCTATCGTAATGCGGTTGCTCTTGCAACTGCTTCCAGCGGTGCGGTTTCCGTTAAATTACACCGCTTACGCAATAATCATCCCACCGCCGAACTCGTTTAGAAATATTGAATTACAAATTTTTAATATTAAATCGCGTTTTACGAAACGGCCGTTTGTTGGCCCTACATAAAATTCCGTTGGGATCTCGAACGTTTTTATTGCATTTTCGCTAGATGGCCCACTTCTTAATTTCCTTAACGCTTACAACTAGGTAATATTTGAATTCTTAAAACTGGAGTGTAAATTTTTTAAGTGTAAACTGAAATTTGTAATTTCTTATAATCGACGTATATTGGCTATATAAACGCGATCCCACATTAACAATAAGCGTTCTTTTTCCGAAGCTTATTCCTCAAGTTTCCTACAATTTTCCGTTTTTTAATATACAAAGATATCTTTTTCATTTATTTAGATTATATATTAATTTTCATAATCATCACGGTAGAACCACTTCGTTTCAAGATTTTATATTAATTTCTTCCTATTGTACGCAATTTATAAATAAAAGTTACTGAATGAAAATACCTCCATTGGATAGGTTTGTACCAAAATCTTAAAATTACTTTTCACTGTACTCAAGGGACGTCCCAATAAGTATTTAATAAGTTATCGTGTACTCGCAGAGTATGACTTACTAATAATGGTGGATGACTCCGTGGCGCAGTTACCAAAGTATTCGAAAGGTTCGATTCCCACACGGGACAACTATTTGTGCGACCCACAGATAGTTGTTTAGCATCTGGGTGTTCGTCCACGTGAAATTAAGTTTGGAAAACGTCCTTACAACACAGGATATTGTTATCCTAAAGTAAGGGCAATGTTTTTTTTTTAAAAAAGACTAAAGACTAGTCTCGACTAAATTAATGGTCATAGAAAAGCTTCCGAATCCAGGACAGGGTTTATAAAATGTAACATATTTTTTTTTCATATTTCTCTTACAGACAAAATCTGAACTCGGACTTTACGGACAGCGCTTTAGGCAGCACGGACAAAAGCCCTTTGCCATATGGAAACTTCCAGCTTAGAGATACAACGGTGCAATCCATACTCGCCCATCCGAGATATGGCCCCAAGTAAGGTTCACACATTTCAACCAATGACTGATAAAAACCTGTTGTAGAGTCACTCATTGACGCTTGTATGTTCAGGCTCGTCCGGGGAATTACCTTGGCCAGTATTATATTTTTGCGTTTCGTTCGAGTGAGGTAGTCGGGGCCAACTGTTTTTAAAAGGTGAGAATGCGTTTGTAATCCGTCTGCTATTGCGTTACCAGATTATATCTGTTGCTTATACGTTCGAGCTTATCTGGGGAAGTTCCATGGCCAAGTATTATACCTTCGCGTGAGTGAGGTAGCCGAGGCAAACTGTTTTTAAAAGATGACAATGAATTTGCAATCCGTCTGCTATTGCGTTACCAGATTAAATGTGAACCGCTGACGTCGACGAAGCTGATACATAAATTAATAAAAAAAATGTATATCGGTATTTATACCTCCCATCCGAATACGACCATTAAAAAGTCAACTAAAACTTTTCTTTTATAATTCTCTGACATTAAATTAAGCTAATGTTATGCTTCAGAATTTAAAATGAACCTCTTTAGATTGCTAAAAAATCAATTAAGATTGAATAACTGCGTCGATTAAAGCGACGTAAAGCAGAAAATAAACAAATTTCCCCAGCTAATTGACTCCTCAAACTGCATTACTAGATTTAGTATCGCCGTTAGCTTTCTAAATAAGCGATGTCTGCTTGACCTCTCGTTTTATCTTTCACATAATATTGAACTGTTTCGCGAAATGGCATCGAACTCTCCTTAATTTATACTGAGTAGTGTTTATAGAAATTTGGGCATTGAAATAGCTTTTCAATTATAACTACTTTAAAAGCCTGTTTTAAAATTTAAAACAATTTCTCTTTACAATATGTGGGTTTCGTATAAATATGTATAAGAAGTCATGATACGATTTACATATTTATAGGATTGTGTTGTTGGATACGGTTTATCTCTTCCATATAAACTAATATGTGAAATGTAATACTGTAGGTAGTGAACTTTTAATAATTAATTGCATAATACTTTTAAAAATATTCACTGTCGGAATCTCACGTTAAGTACGTGAGATTTTAAACAATATTCTTTTTAATAAAAACAAAATCCTATTTGTAGACATAAATGTCTTTATTATTATTGTTTAACATTATAGATTTTTTTATTATATAACTATTTTTACCGATTTTATCGAGTATAATGTTGATAAAAATCAATCCAAAAAATAGTTTTAACAGTATTCGTGTTAATACAAGAAAACGTAGAGAATTTGTAACTTTACTCAGGGTGCAAAGGCAAAGTCGGGGGGTGCGAGAGACCTCATCTGGCTACGACAGTTCGGACAATGAGACCTCCACCAACTACAAGTACAGTCGCAAATATCGTTCCGATCCAGACTTTCGAATGCAAAATCTACATCCATCGTATCAGGTATGGTTTTGCTTTTATTTATTCTCAATGACAATATCAGTCATCAATAGATACAAAAAATTGCATAAATTAATAAGTACTAATTATTGCAATGTACGCAAATTTTCCACATGTCAGTGAAATTGATTATTATCTATCGTTCACTTTGTTATAAAGATAAAAAGAAAAGTAATTCAAAAGATTTTAAAAGTAAAACGTAGCGACAGCTAATCTTTAGTAAACGGAGTTACATTTCTCAAGCGATCGAGGATGGTTGTACGGTGGCTTTAGTTTGCCACGCGGGACCTCCACTCTGTTTCCACCTGCAGCACGCAACCGGAGTGCCTCTGGTGGCGATTCAGCAGGCGGGCATCCGCGACAACTGGCCCAGTTCCCGCCACAAGTCGCAGAGCGAGGCCAATTTGCTCGCCGCCGAGCGCTCGCACCGCGGCCACCCGCGCCGCTCGAGCGTTGCCGACTACGCGCCCGACAACGACCACCAGAGGTAACCTTTGGCTCGATTGGCGTTGCTAAGCTAATAGTTTGTTCTCGTATGTTCTGGTATCCATTTGCTTTTCATTTGTCGAGTTTGTGTGCGTAACATGTCATCATAACTCAGTATAGTTTGCTGTTAACGCACCTGACAACGACCACCAGAGGTAACCTTTGGCTCGATTGGCGTTGCTAAGCTAATAGTTTATTCGCGTATGTTCTGGTATCCATTTGCTTTTCATTTGTCGGGTTTGTGTGCGTAACATGTCATCATAACTCAGTATAGTTTGCTGTTAACGCACCTGACAACGACCACCAGAGGTAACGACTTCTTTACTCCATTCTGTTCACCCAGTTACCTGATGCCGTCGTCGCATCTCGGCGGCCGCATGTCGAAGGCGGGCAGCCACATGTCGCTTGCGCAGTCCAGGAAGCACTCGACCCTCCGGCCCGGAGACCAGCTAGACGGATACACGCACTCCGCTTACATTTATCCCAACTATTACGTGAGTTCCAGAACCTGTTCTGTTATGTCCCACACGTCGCTAGTAACAGTAACATTTAATAACGCTCACTCACAGACGACCGCGGCCCGAAGTGTAAATGTTATACTCCTGCGTTTCGTCTGGAAGTGATATAGCTGGGGCCTTAATGGCCGGCTCTTTGTTAAAAGGTGGCAATGCATATGCAATCTTCTTTTTAATCTTGCGGTTGTTGCAAATGACCACGAGCGGCGATTATCACTTAACACTTGCTGAATTCACAGCTCGTTTGCCACTATTAAAAAAAATTTGCATGATTTCGTCATTTAAGACACGCTGTCCTTTTCGATTCCCATTTTGACAATAGACCGTGTTATTGTCAATAATAATCTACTAGCGACCCGCCCCGGATTTGCACGGGTGCAATGTTTTATACAAATCAATCTTCCTCTTGAATCACTATCTAGTAAAAAAAAAGCCGCATCAAGATCCGTTGCGTAGTTTTAAAGATCTAAGCGTACCTAGGGACAGACAGACAGCGGGAACACTTTTTATACTATGTAGTGACTTTTACAAGCAACCCGAATCGCAGGTGAACAGTTTGGAAATAACCTCCCCGGAGAACAAATCGACGCTCCTCGTGTCCGGCCTGAGCTTCGAAGTGAAGTCGGGAGAGATCCTGGCCGTCTTGGCGACGTCGCAGCACGAAGCCACGGGCTTGTTGGACGTGCTGGCTGGGGTTAGAAAGGTTTGTAAATAACAGAGGACATGGTCAACTTTATTTCCTTTCATCATCATCATCAGCCTTCTGTTATCTACTGCTGGGCTAGGTTATAGTACCAATTTAATTTTTCCAATTTTATTTAATAATTTCCATTGACACGCGCATTGGCAAGTCGAAACGGCATCTATACATTCATTGCACTATAACATGCGGTCGAATCTATTTACACTATTAGGATAGTTCACGTTATTCGAATATCGTATAAAGACAATCCCTTCACAAAGTATATTTTAAATTTATTGATGAAATGACATACACCAGTCTAGTGTCTACCAAAAAAAATAAACTATTTCGTACAAATGCGAAGCCAGGCGATCCGCAGCTGGGCCACTTGGTGGACTATACCCTAATACCCTCCGCATAGAGAAGCCTTTGCCCAGCAGCGGGACATATATAGGTTGTTACTTTACTTTATTTTTGTTTGGTAGAAACCTCCTGGTTCTCGGCCGCTATTTACTTAGCGGTGCGGCGGTGCAGTTTTAGATGTGAACGCGTGGTTGGTCAGTCGCGATTTTAGATAACCAACCTTTCAAGAGCGTTCTAGAACCCTCTAGAGCCGTCTTTAGATCTGAACACGAGTTTGGTTAGTCGCGAATTTCGATCAGCGACATTTTTAGACTCTAGGCAGAGTAGAGGAGACAGAGCCGTCTAGATTGGAGACGTCTCTAGAATGCTCCAGACTAGTGCCTTCCATCGATCAGCGATCCCTTCTAGAGCCTTGTAGAACCTTCCAGAACGTCCGCAGAAGCTGACCGGCGACATAGTGCTGAACGGGCAGCCGGTGGCCGCGTCCACGCTGCGCAGGGTCGCCGCGTACGTGCGCAAGGACACCTCCCTCTGCCCCTCTATGACGGTGGAGCACACGCTGCGCTTCCACGCCGCGCTGCGGAGGCCGCGCCGCCACCGCAACCAGCTCAAGGTCGACGACCGGGACCAGGTATGTGCACCCACATGTGGCTCTTTTCTTTTTTAATTTTTTAATCAAAAAGAGTCAAAACAAAAATTAGAGACGTGATAGCTCAGTGTCCGGGCGCTCGCCTTTACTTCAATATACTCGAGCAACCTGAGTTCGATCCCCGGTGCCGGCACCAATGAAGTTTTTAACTTTAAGTGCTGACTTATCACGTGCTCCGCGGTGAAGGAAAACATCGTGAGGAAACCTGCATATTTTCGAAATAATAACAAAAAATAATATTTTTCGAAGATATGTGAAGTCCGTCAATCCGCAGTGGGGCCGTGTGGTGGACTATGCCCTGATACCCTCTGAATAGAGGAGGTCTTTGCCCAGCAGTGGGACATGTATAGGCTGTTACTGGTACTGGAATCAAAAAATTTAACAAAGAATATGCTTACACACCTATTCTCGCCAAACTTTTACGAACGGCGAGAGACGCTCGTTTTTCAACATGAAATCTTCTAAGTATCCTGCTGATTTACATATAAGCATTATACATATTTAATAAGTATTATAATACACTATAATTATAACTGACACAGGCACGACTTTAAAGAATGATCTACGTCGGCGAGACAGTAGTGGACCTAACGAATGATGAAATTGACCGATTGATTGATGAAAAAGACCGGGTATTTTATGTATAGGAATTAACGGAGGATGACATACAATTACCCGCCGCTATTGGTCTATCACAAAAATATTTCACGCACACAATAAGTCGGTTTGCTAGACTACGGAGATGCTCCCGCGGTTCTTACGAATAGTCTAAAAAGTATGATAACACTGAGTGCATGCGCATTCTCTATATGTAATAGAAACGTACATTTACCGGTAATGATTATATACGGTTAATTAATGTGTTGTTTACTCTTGTCCCCGTTTCAGATAAACCTTCTGATCGAAGAGCTGGGACTTGAACAGGTTCGTGACACGAATGTGAGTCGACTCACTCGCTCGGAGATCCGAAGGCTCAACGTCGCGTGCCAGTTGCTTTTGGACATGGCGGTGCTTATCCTCGATCAGCCCACTAAGGAAATGGACATTTTCGACACCTTCTTCCTGGTGGAGTACTTGAGGAACTGGGCGAGTTCCGGCCGAGTTGTCATAATGTCACTGCACCCACCTACTTATGAGATATTCGCTATGCTCACTAAGGTGATTACTTTTAGTATCTTACAATCAGTTAAAATTTGTGGAAAAAAGGAACGAAAAGTTTCTCGCCGCCGTGGGAATCGAACCCACCTCTTCGGGATCTGATTAATCTTAAGTGCAGATATTAGCACTATAAAAAAATTAAATTTCTATCGTATAATCAGTTCACTTCTGATGTTAAAAGAGCCAGGTTAAATTAAGGTAAAAATTTAATTTATAACAATTGTCCAATTAGTAAAGCCTATAAAATCTGCTTTAAAAATATAATAATATTTACCAATTCTTTAATTTGAAATTGTAACTATTCCAGGTCGTCTTAATATCAGCCGGTAGGACGATGTTTAGCGGGTATAGAAGAGACATGTTGCCATATTTTGCCTCCATAGATTATCCTTGTCCTGCCTTCAAAAACCCATCAGATTATTATCGTGAGTATCAATTAATACCATCGATATTACTACTACATACCAAGAAATTAATACACTGCACTGCTTTTAAGTCAAAATATCAATACTGTACCCTGTTACCCTCGTACCAAGAGTTCACATGAACAAACAATTCAAGAAAATTCAAGAAAATTCAAGGACTCTTACTTGCCATTTGTTCGTCCAACGACTACTACTACTACTTTTAAACAAATATTGTTTTGTTTTTTTTAATTAAAATAAGTGCCTAGAATAAAATTAATCAAAAAATCTGTCTGCACAAAATCTAAAAGGCCAGCATGATGTTTCAATCTAACATTTTTCGGTACACTGTGATAACAATTTCGCAATATGGCGTATATTTATTTAGACAACTCGATGTAAAAATCATCAAAATCGACTCTTGTCTTTGGTTCCTACTAAAAAAAGAAAAATACATAATTATATAGGCTGATAGTACCCTCATTTGCGTCGCACAGTCGGACAAAAAGCTGCACATAAGAATGTCACCAGAATTTCTTGATATTTCTCCAATCGAAAATTTAATGAACCGATGATAGTTTTTGACATTATTAAGATACTGGTCAAGTCTGAATTGAAGGACAACGTATTCAGAATTACGTAACCGAACAGATCACGATTGTCATTTTATGCATATTTCACATGCGTGCATTTTGTACTTATGCCAATTGAAATCAGTAAGTGGTTTGCCGCCATCGAACCTATTCCAAACCAATTATTTAAATCGCGTATTCAATAACCATTTTAACCAATCTAATTACGGTCAAAGGCACTGCCTTTTACAATAGATTATACCATTTTATTATACTCTGTGCATTTTATTATCATCTTAATATAGCATTTGTTAAGAATTAAACAAACCATTTAAAACCAGACTTGCTATAAATTCTCTTTAGTAACACCGTAATCTACAAAAAGGATTAAGACTAAGACACAACCTCTTTACGACGTTTCGGTGTCGACTTCGACCCGACACGTCATTTAAGTCCGTCTCTGGCACGCAGTGGACCTGGTGACCCTGGACGACCTGTCCGCGGCCGCGATGCTCGAGTCGTCGGGCCGCATCGAGGCGCTGGCGGGGGTGTTCGCGGGGGCGCAGGCGCCCCCCGAGCCCCCGCCCCCCGTGCCCCTGCCGGCGCCCCTCCACCGCGCCAGCGCGCCCCTCCAGATATTCGCGCTGCTCGAGTGAGGCACTCCCGATCGCGTTTTTTATGTAAAGGCCCATTTACACGGTGCAAGTTTCTTGCCTGTTGTATACAATTAAATTGAGGCAATAAATGAGTTGCATGGTCTAAACAGCACATAACATTCTTGACCGTTGAACAAAACTTGCTTCAAGTTTTGTTTCAAAACTTTCCTTGGTGTAAACAGCACACACAATAATTTCTTAAGCAATTCTTGTATTCAATTGCATTCTCTCTTCCTTTGTAAAAATTTGTGCAATGAGTGAGGGTATTTAATCGTGGCTGTTCTTTTGAGGAAAGAGACTTGAACACTTATTATTGAGCCATTTTTTTTAAAAAAAAAAGTTCGCTTGCATGAAAAATTTGACAACGCAAATACGTGCAATACTTGAAGCAACACGCCAATAAATTGTACACGCACATACAAGCATGTGTTTAGACAAGTCAAAACTTGAAAGCAATAATCGCCTAAACATAATTGCATTGGTGTAAACAAGACCTTTGCAATTATTTCCTGTCAAGACTTGCGTACAATAATCGCATTCAATTTTTTTTTTACTATATCTGCGTGTAAACTGTTGCTTACAATTCTTGATGGTCAATTATTGCGTTCGAACTTATTGCATTCAATTATTGCTCTTGTATGTACAAGAAAATGGCATCGTGTAAATGGGCCTTAAGGCAAGCGAGCTGGCGGCTCGCCCGGTGTTAAGTGATCACCGCCGCCCGTGGAAACCAGGAACGCCCCCTTTTTGCAACTTTTCAATAAGGTGGGCCCCGGTAAGTTCGCTCACCAGACGAAACGCAGAAACACTCTTACACTTCACGCCGCTCTTCTGCCGGAACTACCGAAGATTTTTGCGGGTACATGTACCTCTCTCTAATGACGTGTGTGAGTCTGTAGGAGGGGATGATGGAAACTATTGCGACAAGATTGAGTTATTTTTGAGAAAGTTTCGACTTCTTTGTTCACATCCTTTATTTTGCTTTTAATCAGATATTATTTTGTTTAACATGTAGATACGAATTTCGCTTAGCATGTGAAATCAGTGATTGAATTTATAAAATCGATTATTTTAAGCATTTTGTTATATGTTCTGTACTACATGAGTTCTAAGTAAATGTATCTAGGTTGCCAAAGAAACCGCTTAGCTGAGCAAAACTTAGAATGGAGAATGAGTGATTATGAATTCTTAAATAGCTGTGAGAGCCGTGACCGCATTCTTCGGGCGCTCTCTTCTAATATACTCGAGGAACCTGAGTTCGATCCCCGGTGCCGGACCAATGAAATACTTAATTTAAAGTGCTGACTTATCACGTGCTCAGCGGTGATGGAAAATGTCGTGAAAAAAAATATTTTGAAGATGTGTGAAGTCCGCCAATCCGCAGTGGGATCGCGTGGCGAACTATGCCCTAATACCCTTTGTGGATACCCTCAGAGGAGGCTTTTGCTCAGATAGGATGTTACTTTCCTTTTTTTAACAGCTGTACCCTCTCCATTTCAGGAAGACTTTGCTGTACACCCAAATGACGACTCTATCAAACGTGATAACTAGAGTGCTCATAGCGGCCGCCATGTCTCTTGTCACCGGAACCGTGTTCTGGGACCTGCCTTCCACGGACCCTAAGGTACATCACGCTTTATGGTGAACGAACTATTCTATCGAGGAAATTAAAAAAAAGTTTTATCACTCTTACTGTTCCACATTTCATTAGGCATCTCATTTCCTCATATGTATCTTCTCTCCTCTCTGAACAATAATAACAGTATTTAATATCCATAACTACAAATATACTTTTCCTTTGTAAAAATAGCTCATGGAATGCGTTCGGTGACGGTGACGCGAGTTTCACGCTTACATACATATACACAGTATCACGTAGCATGGAAAGTGGTCGGTTCCATGGTTTCTGATCATCAAAACAGTTCAACGCGCCTAAGGAATTTTTCACTTGAAAAAAATGAACAGCTGACGCAGAACGACCGCGTGGGCTACCACTACGCGGTGGCGTGCGTGAGCGCGTGGCCGCTCTTGCTGTGGGTAGGCGCCCGCGAGGCCAGCTCGGCGCGGCGGCACGTCGAGCGCGACGTCGCCGTAGGGCTCTACTCGCGCGCCCTCTACGTCGTCTTCGACGTAAGCCACTCGCTCTAGTTATACGGACGTGTTGAACGTATATTACATTTTTTGTGGAAGGGATTGTTGTGGGTCCCAACGACCAGTGACGTGAGCCACTCACTCACTATTTGGGTGTGTTGAACGTTGATATGTTGTATTTTGTGTATCTATTGTAGTCCCCCATCTAAAATATTGCCATTTACTGTAGTAAGTAGTGCCGATTAATATACATAAATTTAACGTGAACAAACACCCAGATCCGAAACAATTACAAACAAACACAAGAAATCATTATTATATAAAACTATAATCTCTCTCTTTTGAATAAAAACGAGGCGGTCGAAAGAGCTTTTAGAATTTGAGATCGAGATTGAAGTAAAGATACCAGTTCATATGTTTCTATACTATTCATATTTTTTAAATTTTAGCAAGTAATGGAACTGTGGTCGGCGGTCCTAACGTGGCTAGCATACTTGGTGCCAAGTTACGCCATGAGCGGTCTGTACGCGCAATCGCCGGAATCGTTTGAAGGCTTCTATATTTATTTAGGTATGTTCATATACTTTGAGAAATATTTTCATTCGTTTTAATATTGGAGTGACATAATAGTTGTGTATATAATGAAACGGTTTTTTTGTCAATAAAACCCGTTGAAGATTTCAGTAATGGAAAACATCTCCAAAGTTCGAACGAACAGTAATGGAAATATTCCAAAGTTCGAACGAAAATGAAAAAAAAAAGACCGGGTTCACCTAGTGTTGAGAAATAAAGCAACTACAACATATTTTAATGAATGTTTTGTTATGATTTTAACCCAAAAAAGCGACTGCTACGAACTTTTTATTAATCTCATTTGCACATGGAATCAATCGGATTTCCTGAATATAGAGAAGGATTTTAATTACACGAGCTAAAAGGTAGCAGAAATAATGAAGTCCCAAAAAATTATATAAATAAAAGACGTTGAGATTAGTGGTTCAAGCATCAGGGCGCGAATCCCGCAGAAGTGGGTTCTATCCCACAGCGGCGAAACACGTGCTTTATCTACAAATTGTAATGGCAAAGTCCTGTGTAATTGCAGGCTATATGCTGCTATACCTGATCGGCGTACAAATGCTTTGCCGAGCGGCGGTGTTCGTGGTGCCGATGGAGAAGACGGCGTCGGTGCTGTCCGGCTTGCTGATGCTGCTTACCACGCTGGTGAACGGCGTGATGCTGCACCAACGGGACCTGCCGGCGTACGTCCGCTGGCTGGAGTATGTCTCCCCGTCGCGGTGGACGCTGCCGGAGATGTTGCGGAGGGAACTCAGCGAGACGGCCCTCAGAAGCAGCATCAGCAAGGAAATCAGATGCACCAACAAGCAGGTCGGTGCGGACGGAGTTTACGCCCCAATTTCATCCGACGGCGTAGTGGGTAGTGTGCCTGCCTTCTGCGCGAGAGGGTGTGGGTTCGATCCCCACTACTGGAGAAATATTGTGTGATGAACATGGTGTTTTTCTAGTGTCTCGGTGTTTATATATGTATAACATGTATTTATTTACATAAGAAAAGTATGTTTATGTAGTACCATATAGTTATCTAGTACCCATAGTACAAGCGTTGCTTAGTTGGGGACTAGAGAACGTTGTATAAACTGTGTCGTAAAATATTTATATTTATTTAACAATTATCCGTTTATAAAAAAGCCGTTAAACGGTTAAAACAATACCTAATCTCTTTCCAGCTATAAGCGTTTGTACATATCACATACATTATGCATATTTTTTGATAATCGTTCAAATGCAATAATTCAATTGAGAATAATCATAATAATTATTTCCTCACCAAGACCACGTAATTAGGTTTCTATCCGGTTCGATCCTGGACATTTACATAGCTGCTACTTCAACAATACCAGTATCGAGTACCGTTTGCCAAAGTTAAAAGAGACTTGCAATAGAAAGTACGCGGTCACACATAGCGAATTTACGCGGTGAAATTCTCAGCGAATAATAGATGTCACCAATGATGTTTAAGCATGAAAGTGTGTGACAGAGATAACACTAATAAATCAGCCGATTGTCTCTTGGATGTGCAATACCTGACATCCGTCACATTAAACAGTTTACAGTTTATAAGATTTGATGAAATATCACTCATTTTCATTACAGAGACCGTACCAAGACATAATAGTACAGTCGCCGTGTCCGCCGCCCAACGGTACTCAAGTTCTGTCGAACTACGACTACTTGAATTCGGACAGCGTTTGGCAGTTCAAAGAGCAGGGCTTCCTAATAGCGCTGGCCGTCTTCATAGCGATATTCTCCCTAGTCGCCATTTTCGCTTTCGTGCTAGACTGTACAAAGTACGCCAGGAGCAAAGAGAGAAGGTCTTTGAAAGGTCACAAGATCACCGTGAACACCCCCTAACGAGTAACTCGTATTTTAAATTATTACTGTAATAAATTTCGGCTTTTACAACAGCCCTAAGTAAATCTGGAATATATTCCATACAAACTTATAAGTAAATGTATGGTTAATCTGACACATAACCTCAAATGTGTCGCGTAGAAAGTTATACGCAAAATGTCTTTAACTATCTAATATTACGTCGACATATCACTTAGTATGTACATGGGGCCCATAGTCTACATTAATAGTTAGTCTTATTAATAAATAATTCAATCATATTTAATAACTCCTTTTAGAGACGTATGGATTTGGTGCTCCCAATGCAAAATAATTGCAATTTATTATTAATAATTGATGGTCATATATGGTGCTACGTTATTTAAATATAAGTTATAGCCATATAAGACTTTCCAGGTATATTATAATTGTATTTTTCTGGGTCTTTTTCTGTAATCAATATTGTAGAAAACGTAAAATGTGGTCTTAGAAGAAAGTAGGTAGGTACTTATATAATTCAAAAATAAAGACAACATAATTATGTAATGGAGAAAACAAATAATCAAGCGATTGATTGTTAAATCGTTTGTGGTACAAAAAGAGTTTCGTTAATAATAGTAAATATATAGAGGAAAGTCAACCAATATGGAATACCATTTTGTTTCAGGGATATAAAAAAAAACTTCATAGAAACTAAAACAGTTTAATGTAATTATTAATCAGTCAGACATTATATATTTAGTAATTAACAGCCTTTAATCAAATATATTAGTTGCCAAATTAAAATCTAACACAAAACCAAAATCACAAATGAGTAACCAAATATGGAATAGGTACCCATATATGGAATATAAGCATAAATCATCATATCAATAACAAAAAAAATAGACATAAATATCTATGAGATCAAATAAATTAAAATAACATATTGTTATAAACGAACGAAGTTACTAAATTCACTTGCAAAAGTCACAGATCCAAGTATCAAACTCTGGACCAGCACAATCATAATGTGCCCAGAGTCCACACATCAAGCATTTGATCCAGCTTTCTCCATTTTTATCCATGGAGAAAAGGTTTGAACAGAACATACGTTCTGCATCAGCAGAGTCAGGAGATACTTGGTCCATCAACTCATCATGTTCACTGTCTTCATCAAACTGGATGACGTCCCGTTCCTCAGAGTCTTCTTCTTCACGATCATTTCTATTTTTCTTCGTTTGTTTGTTTCTCTTCGCAGTTTTCTTCTTTCTTTGTCTTACTTTCTTTTTCTTGTCTCTTCATATTTTTATTTACTAAATAATTTTTGTAGGGTGAAGATGTTATGACTGTTGCTATAGCAGCTTTTCTTTCAAAATGCTGTGCTGCTTTCAAATATCCCATTTTATTTCCCCGGACGAATTTTATAGCTTCTGCCATTTTTTCTTCATCCCAGGTTTTACGTTTCTTGGTTGATTGTGAAGCAGACATTCTAAAAACGAACATAACATAATTTTTTTAAAGAAATAGTAGCAAGTACCTAACATGTGAAATATAAAGACCTAATTATGGAATATTCCATAATTAGACACCGACGACTGTCCATATTTGGATTTTTATACTTGTTTAAAATCATCTAAATATTTTTTCAAATCACAATATTTTAATGACAGAATATCACAAAACGTTGAAATAAACATAATATCGATATACTAAATAGTAAAACACCTATGTATACATACGTAATAACTGGTAATACTCAATTATTACTTACCTTTAAAATTTTCTGCGTGACAACAAAAACAAAAAACACCGGCCACACTTGTAGCGTTCGCGCAACTAACACGATGGTGTGAGTGAGGTAGTAAATAGACCGAATGAAACAGAAGATGGTCAAGTGTTTCGTTTCATACTTATATTCTTAGAGAAATTGCTTTATTCCATATTAGGATACTATTCCATATTTAGTGACTTTCCTCTACTTATCTTATTAGTATTTAATATTAATATGAAATTATGTAAAATAAATAATCTGAAGGCTGACTACTATAATGTCTTCTATTTATATAGTATTTTATTTAGGTCACGTAAATTCCAAATTCATTCCAATTACAAATTATAGATAACTAACACAAATTAATTAGATAAATAGAATTAAAAGTTTTTGAGTTTCAATTTATCTTAATTACTAACGCTAAACGAGTTTTATAGTAATGTTTGTTTATTCAACTATACATATATTATATATCGTCTGTTTTTTCAAGTCCCATAGTAATTTTATGTTATTGTGGAAAATGAATAGTGTTTGTTATCTTTATTATGTACGTAAATTTAAGCAAAACTTTATTTTGTAAATAAATACGTATGTCGAATTTATATTCCATTGATTAATTTTCACTGCCCTTGAATAATGCTCAGTTGATTGTTCTGGAATAATCGTAATGAATACAAAGAACTATTTATGTTAAGTTATATTACGAAATATGTTTGAGCCATAATAAAGAAAAAACAATAATTTGTAAGTTACCTTAGAACGCGATTAAGTGTCGTGATATGAAATAAAAAGTAGTTTAAATAATTCCTGACAGTTTTATTTCAACAATGCACAATTACAAACGACGAAGTTACACTTTTATTTAATATTAAATACACGGATTGGAAAAAATAAATATAAGAAATTAATAAGTACATCAAACACATAACAATTTGGATTTAATCAGATTTCATCATAATAATAAAATTAATTATTATTAAATTTAATAATCGATAAACGATAATTTATAATAGTAATTAATTTATTAAATTTGATAATAAATACTTTATAAATATTTCCATTATTCCTTTAATTATTAATAATTTATTTCAAATATTATAATATAAGAGCTGAAAAAATATTTACTTAATTATCTATTCATCAGGCTAGAATTTTTCTATTTACATACCTACATTTTGTCGACAATTTAAATAACATTTATGCACCTTAACCTACAAACACATATTACACATTTACAAAGCAATAATTTAATTAAGGTACATTGTATTAGAAATGATTAGATATAAAATTAATTGTTTTAATAAACCACTGAATATAAAGTTCTTATATTTTTTAAATATTTTGACTGCTAATTAATGATTTGCATTCATATTTTCTCTGAATATAATCTCTGAAGATCTTTAATAATAAAGAATAAATTCTATTGACTGTTTCACTTAATAAAAATTGTTATATCCCTGATCCCGGACCTGAACACAAGCTTTATTTTATTACGATTAAGGTAAAATTTAGTTAGAAACTTCAACATGTACACAGAGTCGGAAATATGTTCGTGTTGACTGTCACTAAACTATTTATAGCTTGACCAGAACAATAAGGAACCTTGCCATGTTGCCAATGGAACTAATTTTTTTGTAACAATCTACTAGTATAACCACAGTCTTACACACACAGGGCTTCCAACTCAGCATATTTCAAATAGTGGAAAGTGACGCACTGTTGACAGAAAATCCATCCAGATCCATAGAAGGATGCACCATCATAACCTACACTTTTTAAATGCTTTAATGTGTAGTGTACTCCCATACTGATTTTTTTTACAGTTTGATATTATCGTGAAACAATCAGCTCCCTTAAAAATAGAATTTTTGAGTTGCAACAGTATTCTTCCAAGACAGCGATATATATATATATAAAAGTCAGAGTCATAAGACCTATAACACTGAAGGCTATGCTAGTAGTAAAACTGAATTGTAGACGGTTAGAAGGAATTAGAAGTTATTTATTACGTTCTTTATTTTTATGGTCAGGATATTTTTATTCCCTTACAAGATATTTAATAATTTAAGATTTATTGTTTTACCCAATTGGGACAAGGTAGCTCGTATTTAATTTCATTTTTGTATATTTTAGGTAAACATTTTTTAAAGCAATGTTACCGTAATTCGCGAAAATATTATATTAAACGAGAATCATAATTAATAATTCATTAATTAGTTTATAATTTCATTGATTACGCGATGAATACATAATTCGTGGATGGCACAAAAAATAAGAAAGCTTATTTACACAAACTGAATTTAATAAAGATTTAAGGTACAGACACTAGACGCAATAAATACATTTCTGTTTTATTTCACTTGAAAAAAACCTATGTCGAGAAGAGCATGCAATAAGCAGGAAACTATAAATATTGTATATACGAATAATTTCTAAACAATCATAATTGTTTGTATCACAACACGACAACCATAATAATATTATAAACTATATAAAAATTAATTTCCCCGAGATATCGTGAATCGAAATTCGAAATCGAATGGCGGTCGTTAGTAATTTTATAAATATCATATATAAATCCTTTTCGTATAATATAAATTCTTTTTTAAAACTTATATTTAATTTAATCAATTCAATCGGACATTTGAAATCTTGAGAATATAAGAGTGCTAATAATTAACCATCGTATACATCGAAAAATTTAAATACACATAAGCAACATCAATTCCATGTACCTGCGGTGTTATTAAATATTGAAAATGGAAACAAACAATACTGTGGGACTTGTCGGTTGAGGAATTTAGATTTGCATTAGCCCCAGTCTGAGTGGAGGTGGAAGAGTTGGTGGTAACGTGTGCAGATGTCGCACGGGCAGGGGCGTGGGGGTGGCCGTGGGGTGTGGGGGTGCGGCGGGACCCGGCCGAAGCGCTGATCGTCCACGTAGCGGCTCTCTAGCAGCATCCTCTGTATGCGTTCCTCGCCAGGCAACGAGCCTTTAAGATTCCCCGCCACGCTGTGCTCGCTGCCCGCCGCCCTGTCGCGATTTCGAGAGTTGCCGTAATAGAAATATGATTTTTTTCATGTGAAAAGTTGCCAAGCGAGCAGACGGTTCACCTGATGTTAAGTGAATACCGCCGCCCATGGACATCTGCTACACCTGAGGGTTCCAGAAGCGTTAACAACGTTTTGAAAATTGGGCTCCGGCCACCTCACTCGCCAGAAAAAACACGAAAGTGTTATACTTCTACTTTACGCCGGTCTTCTGTGAGGTCGTGGTACTTACCCGGACGAGCCTGCCCATTCGTGCAACAGCCGAGGCTGCTTGCGTGGCCCTACCACCGTTAACTATCATAAGTGATTTTGCATTATAATGCTCAACAAACGTATCGTACTCGGCGATGAGTATTGCACACATCGACATTTGGATAGAGACAATCGGCTGATCTCGGTGTCGTTTAGCGCTGACCCTGTCGCACACTGTCTGTAGGAAGCCGAAAAGAGCTGATTGTCTTTTTCCTAAGGTGGATGTGCTATATTTATTTACAAGTACTATACTGGTTACATGATCTGCGTGGTGCCTTGTTCGAAAAGTCATTGCAAAATGACATTATCGCTATAAAACTCGAAAATAGTGAGAGATATAAGGAGAGATTACGTGTTAGACGAAAGAAAAGAAATTTTTGATTGGAGAGCGGGCCCTTCATTTGGTGTCGAATGGCTACCGCCACCCATGACTGTCCACATTAGGGGACCAAACTCACAGAGATTGGCTACCTTTGTGAATTTGGTCCCAGATTGCCAAATTAACAAGACGCAGTGCAAAAGTATAAATACTTCTACAGAACGCCGGTCTACTGTGAAGCTGTGGTACTTACTATCTTTGATAACATAAGACATTCAACCTATAAAACGGAGATACAATAAAAAAACGATTACAATTACATTTACGGTATGATGATTACAATGCGATTGAAATAAGAATAGGATTTACCTCGCGCCATCTTGTTACGTTATAGCTGCCTATTCAAACCAGTTAGGGTGAACAAAACAAATTTATTTTGAAATAATATTTATTTACAAATAAAAATGAAAAATTACTTTTTTTAAGCCGTACTGTTCAAATGACAGTTGACAGATAGCGGTTATTCGATGTCATTGACGTTCCTATTTTTATTTGCGTTGAAACGCATTACATTATGAATATCAACTTATTCATTTTTAAATTTTACAATTACCCTCTAGCAGTGCACGTATATTCCAACTTCTACAATTTAGACATTCCCGCTAATACTATGTAAAAACTAACAACTTCACTGAAAACTAGCTGAATTAGCAACCCAAACTGGGGTCTAGAACTACACCAAACTACAATTCTATCAGCTATATTCAGCAGTACTCGATATTGTCCTCGGATATCTTGCGGTCCTCGTCTTCTAGACTGACGTTGGAGTTGCTCCAATTCGAGGGTTCAAATTGTGGGGTTTCCAAGTAGTACACGCTGTATGGCCTAGCCCTCGAGCGGGATGAACGCCGCGGGGAAGGTGAAGAGTGTACCCTGGACTTGTCCGGTCTACATTTTAAATAAATTCAGTTTTTTTTTACTGTACCGTTGCAGAGAAGCAGTTTACATGATGATGCAATACAAATTATAAATAACGTGTAGACGCATAATGGTTATAAGAGTAATGTAGAAGTGGTTAATACATCGAGGACAAGGATGTGTGGATCTCTTGCTCAAACAATTTTGTTAACTTGTATAATTAATAAAAAAGATAACAGGACTGCAGGGTTTCTTGCCGGTTCTCCTGTCTTATTTATTGAACCGGTGGTAGTTTTTTGACGTTCAATAATAGCTTTAATTAGCCTATATTGAATAAATACATTTTGACTTCGAATTTGATGTGCGAGTTAAACTTTTACTGGTTGACAATTCGTTAACCTCAACAATGGGAGGTGTTTAAAAAACACTTTACCCGCTGTTTGTGACAGTGGTTTAAAATAAAAATGCTTTAAATTGCTGTACTGTCACGATGGGCTATTTATGACGTTACAGAATATTAATCTAACGAGTTTTCTTAGAATATAGGTGCTTTGTGGAACTGGCACTCGGAAATTTCACGGGTCTTAAAATATACATTTTTTTAATGTAGATTCAAACAATTGAATCAACAGATCTTGCAATTTAAAATGGCAAAATTTATTAATTATAGTCACTTACTTGGGACAGCCGCAGACAACCTTCGTATCTTTTGGCTGAGGTCTGCATGATGACCTCGATTCTCCGCTAAGGGACCTGCCCGTACGAGGCAGAAATCTGTTGGTGCTGCATTTCACTCTAAAAAATAAAAGACGTACTATTATGACACGTGACACTAAAATGAAGACTACAGATTATCTAAATTATATCGGCGATGGTATTCAATGAATACCACGGAAACTATTCATGACTTTTCAAAAATATGTTACGAGATATATTTAGAGCGAATAATTTTATGAGGCTCGGCAAAGCGACAAAAGAGACGAGATATTCGCAAAATCTTTTTATTCGAATGCCATCTAAAAGAGCGCTCTGAACTATCATTTCGGAAAATGAACTATGTAATGCATTCTACTAGTTCTATATAATAGCTTGTACTTTGTAGTACTTTGTACTATGTAGTACCATGACTAATGTAGATGAACTATTAGGCTGACTAACACTTATCATTCGAAAACTTTTCTTGTAGTACAGTACAAAGATATGTTACCTATTCGTTCATCGTTCTAGTACTACACAAGACTAACACCGGATTTCGGAAACACTGATAATCGTAGAAGTTAACTAATCAACTTTCAAATGGATTTTCAAACATTATTTAAGTTTCCAAAAGGATAGTTTCCAACTATCTGAATTGATGAGAATGATATTTTAATGATCAGAACAATCAATTCAAAGAGTTTAACCATCCCTTTGGCAACTAAAATAACATTTGAAAAGCCAATTGAATGCTGATTAGTTGACTTCTACGATGATCAATAGTTCAGCAATCGGGCGTAAGAGGTATGCGAAAGAACATCACCTGTGATACAGCGGCGTGTGACAAACCCTTTTCTGCCTTTGCCCATCCGACTCTGGAACTGGCACGCACTGGCATTTGGTGCCTTTCGCCGCCAAATTGCTCTTTTGGTTCCATATTTCGTCTATGCGTACCTTCGTCGCTATCTCTATTTTCGGCGATAGGATGCCCTGCGAAACGTGAAAATTTAATGAACAAGTTACATTGGCTGATATATGTTGGTCAAATTGATATTGCAAACCTCCATATAACTCTGTCAAAATTAATATGACAATCTCTGTACAATTGACAAGCATACATAAAATATTTAGTAAAAGCTTTTCATTCCAACCGGATAATATGTTCACCAAGCTTATTAATTCCCAAAATAGACTGCCATTAGAATAATATACTTTATATTACTACACAATAAGCTACCAATGCCCTATACAATAAAGTAAAAGTTATATAAGTAACTACATCATGGTGCTTTCGTAATACTAATGTGACTAGAAAAGTTCGCATATTATTACAGGGAACTCCTTAGACCTGCGCATGAGCAGATCGACGCCGTCACTAGAGCACATGTTTGGTGGGAATAGAACATCGTTCAGAGCGCCTAAATACTGAGCCAAGATCACACAATCGCTTGAGTCACAGTCGTCACTCCACTGCACCAGCTCACAATAAATTGTCTCATCCTCTGAAAGTAAAATCCCGTGAACTCAAATATTATATTTATATTTATATTGTAGTATTAGGGCATAGTTCATCAGATAGTATCATTTTAAATAAACATGCTGTGCTGTTTTCTCAACATGACAATGGTAAATTGACAACATAATGATTTGAAAGTTCTCGAATGATCGAAGAATAGCTCTTTTACTTTAAAAACTGCTGCCCTTAAAAGTATACTTATTATTGTATTCACCTCTTATGTGGATAAAACATGTGAGTTGACATAACATAATAAGAATGGAATGTTGTTCTTAGGGGTTCGGAGCATTTATATCATGATTAAAATAATATTTCAATAAATGTTATAAAATGTACTAACTCAACAAACAACATATGTTGTTCAAAGCACAGGTCTCTTGAAAACGCTTGCGAAAGTAAAACACATCTTTGAACAGAAGAGGAAAATTTGGAGGCAATAAACATGTTTGGTAACTTGTGCCCAATGCAAATACTGTGAGTGACACACGGCCAGCTTGACATAACCAAACTCCTGGACATGATACCTACAGGACAACATAAAAATAATGTTATTTTGTTTGACTGACACACAAGTGATATGTTGATTTATTAATGATTTTGCTAAATGTACTTTTCGACTCAATGAAGCATGTTATTCATATATCAAAGAAGAATTTCGATTTGTTCGACCTTGACTTGTAAAAGTAAACATAAAAGGTACCTTTTGGACATCAATTTCAATTGTTAACTCTATAACTTTTGGCATATTTTAATGTCTTTCGTATGTTTAATGCGACTTGATAAAAAAATACATTTTAATTTACGAAATTGAGCACCTGCACAATTTTAGTAAATTTACGTTTTTCATCTAAAAGTCTTCAATTCAATTTCATTAATGTGAATGAGTCTATATTGTATTTTCTTAAGACATTAGTTACGTTACCATGGTAACTAGAAGTGGGCGATACAAATCGTATCAGATATGAAAACTAGATATTAGTACAATATCCGAATATCGCTTACTGGCTCGTTCAATATCTATGTATTTTACAATATCTGATATTTCCAAAATCTGATGTACCGTGCTCGCTCGCTATACCGACACGAATCGCGATATCATACCGCGTTTGCCACAATATCTGATTTTTAAACAGATTTCAAGAGACAAAGCGCGTGAGATACAAATACTCACTAGTTAGAGCGGGACGGCAAGCAATGCACGATATCAGATTTTTAAACAGATTTCGAGAGACAAAGCGCGTGAGATACAAATATAAATACTCACTAGTTAGAGCGGGACGGCAAGCAATGCACGATATCAGATTTTGAGTGACAAAGCGCGTGAGATACAAATATTACACTAGTTAGAGCAGTACGGCAAGCAAGGCACAATATCAGATTTTTAAACAGATATTATGAATAAGTTAAGTAATTTTGAATCTTAACGCCATACAAATAAGATACGTTTCAATTAAATACTAATCATGGTATCAACGATTACTACAACGATATTATATTTTTATTGTTTTGTTTAGCCTTGAGCCGTAACGGGCGACAAAGCGCGCAGTTAAGTAATTTTGAATCTGAATCTTTTGAACAGCATGGAAAAAAAAACTTTGTTGCATTTAGATACGAATTACGGTATTAACGATGTCTTTAAATTTTGTTTAGCCTTGAGCTGGATTGCATTGGTACCTAGCACGTAATAGTAAGGGATGCCAGCTTACTACTTAAGAATTTTCTGCCTAAATTAAGGAAGAAAAATATACAATGGAAATTTTTTAGGAGGTAAATTTTTTGTGAATATTTTTATTAGTTGAATTTTATTTATATTTTTGGAAAAAAAAAAAAAAGTACACAAAAAGAAAAATATAATTTAATAGTGCTGTGCTGCTTGGGTGGAAATCAGACCAAGGCTTATAAAGCACATAAAGTGTGTATATTTTAAATTCTTCAGCCCTAAGTTATACTAAATGTATTATTTCTTACACAAATTATAAAAATATTGTCACTCATGATTGCGTGTTCTAAAAATATGTTTAAGTCAATTATTAAGCGATATATAAGATGTTAAAATAAATCATTTTTATATTACTTCAATTTGTATTTTTTATGAAATTTTTAATTTAATCAGGTAATGTTTTAATTTTACCTTAATAGTAAAAAAAATCGTGATTTTAAATTCAGTAAGTTTTTTGAATTTATTAAATTTTAGTGGGTTTTCGAATTTATTTAGGAGTAAATAAATTCGAAACATATAAAAATAATAAATAAATTTAAACCCGGAGGAATCTAAATAATTATTGAAAACATTTTTTTTTTTAGAATTCAAGGTGGATACGGGACCGTAAAATAAATATCTAGATATTAAAATACATAGTTTCGAAATCTGATATTTCAAATCGAAATCGGATTCAGATACGGTACTCAGAAAAAGCGATACGACCCATCTCTAATGGTAACTAACTGTCATAATAAATCAAAATATAAAGCGCACTCTATGTCTATGCATTGAATCCAAATTATTATTCAGCCCCTCCTGTACATAAACGTAAATAAATTACTGTTTTGAAAAAAAAAGGATACCACAACCTGAAATTCCTGACAAACAGATATAAGCAGGACTGTCTTAGTATGCAGGTTTCATTCAAGACTACAGAAGAACTGAATTCAGTTGACTATTAAACTTAAAACATTATAGGTACTAATGCCAAGTTATTTAAAGTTTAAAAAGCATTTTTACAAAATTTTGCATTATAAAATCCGTAATAGTACAATGTAAATTACATTTTAACAGTTTTAATTTTTATTTTAAGTATAGCAATCGGTAGCATATCCATAGCTATCTTATAACAAATCTATTTAAAAACGACTAAATCGTGTTCAAAAACTTGCCCACACAAATCTGAACATAAACCGATAAATCGATCGACTTGTTTCATGATTGAAACATACACGAAAAATCCTTAGAAAATTTCTGAGTTTGTTGAAAACCTACAAATCCATATGCAAAGATTTATAGGACACATGGGGAAGTTTTTTTACTGGGTAAAACTTGGAGTTTACAGAATATCAAACATCCGTTATAAAAAACGAGAAGGAATGCGCGATTTAAAACTTATATAAAAACCAAAAAAATTATTTTGTTTTTATAAATTTCTCATCAAATACTGCACACCTAAATCTGTGATTTAGATTTCAAAACATTGTTATCAAGACCTTGACAAGTAAACTTTGTTTATCTCTAAATTCTATATCCATAGATATAACATGCATTATTTTTTCATTTCCCACATGATAAAACATAATTAAGTGTATGTCGGTTTTTGTTCCGACGCTCCTTAATCTTAATTGTATTTTGGTTGTGGAATGTACTTAACGTCTTTTTTACGTAAGTACGTGTTTCTGATAACGTTTTTTTTTTAATTTATTGGGACATAAAACAGTTATACATTAACAATTATACATAAAATGGAATTTCTAATTATTAAACTAAACGTATAACCCACACCAATGTCCGCAAAATAATATTAAGTTAAATAAAATAAAAAGAGTAAGTCGGTTCCTAGCCCAATTTGCATATTACTTTTTAAGTATTAGTGTAACCATTCTTTTAAATTGATTTTGGGAAAGTGAAAACAATTCATAAATTTAGAGTTATATACATCTAGCGCTCTACGAACCGGTGCTCGCTGCCCAGCATTTGTTCTACACTTTTCAGTGTAGAACAATCGGGGCACGCGTGCATCGCGTATGGTAACTCTTCTTGGTACAATGTAAGCAATCCTGTGAGTAAGCTCCATACAGTCGAATTTATTATTACATAATCCATATAACAGCATAGCCATAGCAAGTGCGCCTGGACTCCAAACTCAATAACTCATATTTTTCTAATAATTGTACATAAGAAAGCCTAGCGTGAAAACATTAAAAGTGCATAGTGCGTAAGAATTTCTTTTGCACAATCTCTATTCTTGAAATGTATTTTTCATAGAAGGGAATCCATATTGGAACAGCAAATTCTAATTGAGAACGAACCAAGGTTTTGTATAAGAGTAGGAAAGTTTTGGATGCAATCACTAGATGGTGGTGGTGGTATCTAATATCTATGACCATAGATATTAGATATTATAATAGATATACTAATATATACTAATAAATGCTAGATATGCATATATTAGTATTTTATCTATATCTATGACTGACATTTGATGGTTGATGTTACGGGATGCAGGGATGCCAGCTTAGGAATTTTCAACAACTTAGAAATAAAATAAAATTTTACAGTGCTGTGCTGCTTTGGACGACGTCAGGCTTATGTGTCTGATGTTAATATTTTATGGATTCTAATTTTTTTTAATTGTGTTGATTGTATTTTTAACATATTCATTTTAAATGAATTATATTATGTTTGATATTCTTGACCATTTTCAATGAAATAATTTATTTTATCAGATATTTTGCTTTTACCTATAATATTAAAAAAATCGTGATTTTAAATCTTTTGTTCGAATTTAATTTTTAGTGGGTTATCGAATTGTTTAATTTTTGAACAGTTGGTACCACTGACGGGATGATTGTTGAAAAGTTTTATGTCAATGTCAATCCTAGTCAATTGATTGTCTTTGTCATTGTTAATGTTGAATTGTTGACTTTAGTAATTTTTTTGGGAACTTTGTCTTGATTTTAAAAAGCTTCAATAATTTGTAATTTTTATAATTTTTTATCAGTTATGTGCAAAGTGCCAGCTGTTATCCATTGGTTTCGTTTAGATTTACGATTGCATGACAATCTTGCACTAAGAAATGCTATTAATGAAGTAAGCTTGTGACCTTTCTTTCTCTTTTTCTTTTATTTTATTTTAGACTAATTAAATATTCATTAAAATCTTTCAGGCTGAAAATCGTAAATATATTTTACGGCCAACTTACTTTCTTAATCCAGAGAGTATAACTGATGTAGGCCATAACAGGTTACGATTCCTTATACAAAGTTTAAGAGACCTAGACACTAATTTACGTAAGTTGAATACCCGCCTTTATGTTATAAGAGGTAAAGCAATTGACTGCTTGCCAGATTTGTTTAAAAAATGGCAAGTAAAATTACTTACATCACAGTTTGATATTGATCCTGAAATAGTACATCAAGATGAAGCCATAGAAAAACTTGCTGAAAAAAGTGATGTTTTTGTAGTTAAAAGAGTTCAACACACGGTTTATGATGTCAAAAGTGTTCTTAAAAAAAATAATGGTGGTGTACCAATGACATACCAAAAGTTTCTTTCGTTAGTAAAGGATATACAGGTTAAGGGAACAATAGAGATTAATAAGAAAATTTCAGAATGCTGTAAGGCACCAGACTTTGAGTGTCAAGATTATGATGTACCATCCATAGAAGAAATGGGCTTTGATGAATCAACATTATCAGAATGTAAATATCCTGGAGGTGAAACTGAAGGCTTAAAAAGATTGGATATATTTATGGCCAGAAAGCAATGGGTTTGTAAATTTGAAAAACCTAACTCGTCTCCTAATAGTATTGAACCTAGTACTACAGTATTAAGTCCATATTTAAGTCATGGTTGTCTTTCATCAAAACTATTCTATCATAAGCTTAAAGAAGTTGAAAATGGGATGCCTCACACTTTACCTCCTGTTTCACTTCTCGGGCAACTCATGTGGAGAGAATTTTATTACACAGCTGGTGCAGGTACTGAAAACTTTGATAAGATGCTTGGTAATAAAATATGCACACAAATTCCTTGGGGCGAAAATGATGAGTATTTAAATTCATGGGCAGAAGGTAGGACTGGCTACCCATTTGTTGATGCAATAATGCGTCAGTTGAAACAAGAAGGTTGGATTCACCATTTGGCACGACATATGGTAGCTTGTTTTCTAACAAGAGGTGATTTGTGGATATCTTGGGAAAAGGGTGCAAAGGTATTTGAAAATTATCTCCTTGATTATGATTGGTCTCTGAATGCTGGCAATTGGATGTGGTTGTCAGCCTCTGCTTTTTTTTATAAATATTTTAGAGTTTACAGTCCTGTTGCATTTGGAAAAAAGACTGACAAAGAAGGTCTGTACATCAGAAAGTATGTTCCAGAACTAAAGAAATATCCAAGTGAATATATTTATGAGCCATGGAAGGCACCTAAATCTGTTCAGACAAGTGCTGGATGTGTGGTAGGTGTTGGATACCCAAAAAGAATTGTTGATCATGACAAAGTCCATAAAGAAAATATGCAGAAAATGTCTTTAGCTTATAAGAACAATAAAGAAAAAAAAGCTGTAAAAAGGCCAAGGTCATGAGATTCATTATTTTACATTAAAAAAATTGTGGTAATATATCAAGGATCTCTACCTCACACATGTATAAAAAACTGAATGTGTATCATTTGTGTATAAATATTGAAATATAAAATCTCTCATAGCCATGTTGTTTTTATACTTAAAAAAAAAAGTTAACTTAATAAAACGAACACTACAGTGATTTTTGTTCCAAATTATTTATTATACTGAAAATATTAGGGATATTGTAATATTTTTGATTCTACAGGTTGGCCTTTAAATTAGATCCTAATATATTATAGTGGAAATCGGAACCTACGACCGAGTACTAAGTTAGTAATAACAAATCATGTTTAGTATAACTTGAGGAATTGTAGTTTTCGTATGGAATTAAAATTATATATATTTACAAACGCATACGGTACTTGCAAGGGTTAAAAATTTCACTCATTAAATATTTTTTAATGTTATAAGTATACGAAAGGATACGCCGCCTGCAAAGAAAGGGGGAAATGGGAAAGAGCCTTGCAGTAGCCTTCTGACAACCTGTGAGAAAGCCTAAAAAAAGCCAAAACCGGTGATACTTTAAGTACTCGGTACTTCTCTTAAATCCAATGTACCGTCCATCAGTCTTCTTTCGGCCATCTTGCAGGAAATTTACAAATACAACAACATATTAGGATTAAAACATGGGTTCACTTAATAAATATTTTTTCTGAGATAGCAATTCGGCTTTAGATAGCTGGCGGCTAAAGTTTACCTTTATTGCAATAATGCGGTTTTTGTAACAACAATTTATGCTCAAGGCTGTAGGTTACATTTAACATTTTCAACTTGTAGACGATGAATTTCTGCACGGATGGCGGATAATGTCAAACTGACTTTAGTTATGACAACATCAAGAAATTAATATTGGCCGTATATAATTTTTATCCAAAAGTTTTTATTTAGGCGAAATGATGGGGACCGGAGTTCGGGTAGTTATAAATAAATAAAACTAAATATGTAATAGTAACAAATAATAAAATTCATCTGCGATGTAGGTAGTTTACAAACATGCCAGTGATTGCAGTCTGATAAGACAGTAAGTTAATCATATAAGTATTTGTAGAAATTATTAATTTGTATCCATGCATTTGTTATATATCTCTATAATAATTATAGGTTTTTTTCCCTTATAAATATTTTTAAATAGTAAAAAACATACCTATTACATAAATTATAAAACAAATCTACTTCTAGATTTTGAGAAAATATAAAATTTACACTGAATATTTTTTTTACTTTGCGTATAAAATTATTATAATTTAAGTAACATTTTTAAACCAAATTTTCTTTAAGTGAGAAAGTGTTAATAAACATGCAGTTCAACTGATGTTGTGTGACTACCGCCAGTTCGCCACCCATCAACATCCAATAATATTTCGGGTTGCAGATGTGTTGCCATCTTACACAAATCTCTACTCCCAGGGTTGACTGGAAGAGAATGATTATTAGCATTAAGTTTGCTTTTTGTAAGGCTAACTTAAGTTGAGGTGTAAACAATAAATTTTTAAAGAAATAAATGTGACCATATAATGATGAAATTCCAAAATATAATAATTCTACTTCACACCAACTTTCTGTTCTTGATTCCAGGCCATAACAGCTTTATTAAAAAAAAAAACAACTCTTCAGAAAAGTATCGCAGAAGCTGCTAAGTGGCCTTACTACAATGAAATTGTCATTTTAAGTTGTACAGTTTCCATTTTTCAATTTTTATTCATCACACAGGTTGCAAAGACACTATTTAAAATTAAAAGGATAGTAGACAACCAAGTGTTTTATCTAAATATTTTTCAATGTGGTAGGGCCATGCAACAGTCTTTTCTGTTGCACAAATGGGCTGGTCAGTCTGGTAAATTACTACAACAGCCAGCATCAAGTTGAAGTGTTCTCCATATACTCTGTTGAGGGCCAAATTTAGGGGAGGGCCACCGGGGCCACAGCCCCGGGGCCTTCACAAAAGAGGGGCCCCTTACATTAGAGGTTTGGGAAAAAAAATCAAATTCAGTCTAGCAAACAAGTTCTGTTCATTAACCCTAAAATTTGATTTTAGATAATTCTTGTTTTCGTTTGTATTCATATGTTTGTTGAATAATAAAAGATTCTATACTTGGTTTCACAATAAATTATTTATTGGAAAATTTGACGGAAAAAATGTTCATTTTATTTATAAAATAATTAGGGGTCAAGGGGCCTCCACTCCTTTGTTGCCCCAAGGTCTCCAGACCTCTAAACTCGACCCTGACTCTGGTGAGGTGGTTATCACTTAACTTGAGGTAGACAGCATTCTTGTTTGCCACCGTCTCATATAATAAATTCATTTGTCCATACTGTGTATTCTTTATTCATTGGCCTAATCCTCAGAGTTGTTTTTTCTTTAATTAAACAACAATTTATGATTGGAATTGATAGAAAGGTATAAACACATATTTTATGTTTTCTTGTTACATATTTTTATCTGAGAATTTGGTACTCTTAAAAAAGGGCAACAGACAGCTTGTTCACCAAACCTCGTGCAGAAGTATAACATTTTTACTTCCCCAAATGAGTCACCCCATTAGTGCAGCAGGAAAGGCTGTTGAATGGCCCTGGGTGCACTATATCCAAGCTTCATTGTCAATCTAATTGATTGATAGAATAATTTAGTTTCATTGATTTTTCATATGGCAAGGATTGTTATTTATCTGGTCAGGCTATTTATATGACTAATCTAAGCATGTGCCTAATTTATTTGTCATTCATGATAGTAAGCAAGTATAAATAGATAGCTAAGCATGTCAAGTTGTGAATTAAGATTAAAAATATTATCTTTGATAATAAATCTAATCCAAACTTTGTTTTAATAGCTTTTTAATTTATGCATAGAGATCACACTATTTTAGGTATGCACAACGAAATAGACTGAACAGCGCATATTGTTTAAATAAAAATTTAAATTAGTTAAATTTAAATTAAGTGAGACGGTTGACCTCTCTATTGTTTTAAATTGGTAGAACTTACTATGCAGTATGTAGTCTATGGAGTTTCAAATATATAATGTAAATTATAATTATTGTGATAGCACAACTATAGTTTTGATTTAAAATCAAAGTACTGATTGTTATATAAAATTAATTATGCATTTATATTAATAACTGGTAATGTCTCATCGATTTATTTAATATGTATGTATACTATACATAGTTAAATAATTGAAAACTAATAGTAGCCTGAGTTAACCATGACATTAGGAGGTATCAATCCATCTCAATCCGTACCAAAGAGAATGTAATCACTACGTTTACTCTCGTCGTGTCCGTACTAACAAGACTGCAACAAAAACAGATTATACATAGTTACACGATCTACTCCCGTTCCTGGCCCTTTGTTCCTCAATAACGCTTAGTTAGCGCCCGCGGTTCCCACGCATCGTAACGCGAAGTGGAATGTTCCGACGACGACGAAAATGCAGAGGCAGCAGTTCCAGCCCTCGTTTCTTTTAGTATTAAGTTTAGTCGTAAGAACAGTCTGTATTATCATCCGATTGTATCACTCACTTGTAATTTTTAATTAACATTAAATATTAAAAATCGATTTAGTGTCTTTTTAAAAAGCAAGTTGCGCCTTCCTCAAACTTGACTGGCGCAGCCGGTAGGATTTTCCGAAAGTTTCGCGAATATATACGGTCGCGTTCGCCCCAAACTTGGCGAAAATTCGAGAAACCGTTTTTACGCGTACGAGGAAAATCCGTCGAACCAAAAATAAAATTCGTCTCCCGGGGAAGCGCGCAAATTGGGTGTCGGAGCAGACTCAGGAGGACATGGGATTGAGCAGAACAGCGTGAGTAAACCTTTTCACTTCCTGCAATTTCCTTTGACTTTTCCAACATAATATCGCATTATAATTTGTAGAATCTAAGTATTAATTTTATTTGATTTTGATTTACACTAAATAGGTAAATCGCTTAGCTTACTACCATATCTTTACGCATTTGCACAACTCGGCAAGTCAAAAATTTTAGAAATAAATTTAAAGTTAAATAACATTGAAATTGTATATAAAGTAGAGATAGGTTTTTAGTCATTAATTTTGTGAATAAAATGGAGTTCCGAGCAATTCCTAAAGAGGTGCTCTCACTTATCCCTAAATACGATGGGGACGAAAAGCCAGCTTAACCTGTTCTTATCCAAATGTGATTACGTGGTTAGTGGAAGCGTGATAGTAGGAAACCAGGCCCAAGATTTGTATGTTTTTCATGCTGTGTCCAGTAGACTGACGGGTAGAGCCGCGACTTTATTAAGCGATCACCCAAACATTACGTCTTATTTAGCCTTAAAGGAAATTTTAACGCAACATTTCGGCGATCCTCGTTCGGAGGAATGTATCGCGATCGAACTAGAGACCCTCAAAATAAAACCATCGGAAACATATATTCAATTTTGCCATCGAATCCAAAATGTTAGGAGTTCACTTTTTGCCAAGGTCAACAGATTGCCTGATGAAGGAATCAAGGCTGCCAAAATGATTGTGTATAATAATACGGCTTTAAATGTTTTTCTGTATAACCTCCCTGAGGATATGATTAGAATTGTAAGGCTAAAAGGTTGCTCTACATTAGAAAACGCACTCAGTATTGTCACAGAAGAGGTAAACTTCAAATTCCAATACGACGCCAAAAGCAAACTTTTGAGACAAACCGCCCAAAATTCACCTAATACATCTCAACCGGTAAATCCAAAACCAGCATCATTCAACTTAACACCACACGCAAATAATAACTTTAAATTTGGAATTCCACATAATAATTTCAAGTTCGGCATACCCCAAAACGTTAGTCTTAGACCAGCTTTCCAAACAATGCAACAACCAAGATTCACATTCCCACAACATAAGCCAACTTTCCAAGCAACACAGCAGCCGAAATTTGGGTACCAACCACCAAGGTTTCCATCTCAACAACCAACCTTCACACCACCCACACAAGGCTATCGTTTCGGAATTCAACCGCAGCGCCCATCTCAAGCCCCTAACCAACGACCACCATTCCAATACGGTGGATTTAAATTCGGGATACCCCACCAACAAATACAGCCTCCAAAATATGATGATGACGTCACGATGCGTACCGCCCCTGTTAGGCAGAACCTTCTTGTGAATGAGCTTTTACTACGACGAGCCTATGTATAATTATGACTATAACTATGACTCATATGGAAACGGTGCACCGTACTCCGTCAACGAATGCAATTATATCCAAAATACCGACGAAGTAAGTCTCGCATACCAGGAAAATAGTTATGAAGAAAATACCCATGACGAAATACCTGTAAACTCGGAAAATTTTCGGGAAACGGCCTCGACGGATGTGGAGAAATAATAAACCTTAATTATTGTAACAGCATCCAAAAATTACCACACATAGAAATACCTGAAATAAACTCTAAATTTCTTATTGACACGGGAAGTTCACGTTCCTTTATAAGTCCCGCAAAAGTTAAAGAATACTTTAATGATTTTAGATACTATGAACCTTTTAAAGTTATTAGCACTCATGCTCAGAGCACACATGATGAAATTATATACATACCATTGCTGAAAACTTTCAAGAGCCATCTCCAGCAAAAATTTTATGTGTATGACGTAGACAAACGTTACGACGGGTTAATAGGATCTGACCTTTTATCCAAATTAGGAGCAAACATTGACATGCGTAACCAAATGTTGGTGACCCACAACGCGTATATTCCTATAATATACGACCCACCATATGAGATCGAGATACCACCACGAACTGAGAGGAAGATTAGGATTCCCACTGACTTACAACATGGTGAAGCATTGATAGACTACAAGCAATTTCAGGAAGGCGTCCGTATGCCAGCCGCACTTGTAAAGTGCGAGAACTACTTTGCTGAAACGGTCATACAGAACGCTTCTGAAGTAAAAGCCGTTATAACTTTTAAAGAACCTTTTCACGTAACCATTTATAAGAATGAAGAATGTGAAGTTAACTTTATAGAAGGTGACCTCAATACTGATTACCTACTGAAAGAGAACTTGAAAAAATTACGACTAGACCACACAAATAAAGAAGAACGTGAGTATATTTCTAAATTGTGTTATGAGTATCGTGACATATTTTATTGTGATAAAATACCATTATCATTTACTAACCAAATAAAGCACAATATTAGGACTACCAACGAAGACCCAATCTACATCAGGCCCTATAGACACCCGCCTGCTGTTAATCAAGAAATTCAGAAACAGGTAGATAAACTTTTGACAGATAATGTAATAGTTGATTCCCACTCACCTTGGAGTGCGCCCGTTCATTTGGTGCCAAAGAAATTAGAATAAAAGACCTCAAGCTGAAGAAACGCCAAAATCGAGGAAAAGAAATATCTTATCCGAAGTTCCCAAATATCCAGTTACCGACAATTCAAGCAAACCCAACGTCTGGTCTCCAGAAACCCGTAAACCTAAACAGAGTGGACCTTGCCGATATTCAGTTCCTGAATTATCTATTACAAAAGAGTGGAAGTGAATTTAGTGATAGTGAAAATTATAATAGTATGGTTAACCCAAAAAGCATTGGTGTAGGGAACATAGCATTCT